ATCTGCTGGGGGATCACCTTACAGGTCCTCACTGTTTATAATCTGAAACTGYCACAGCTTAATGCACACCACGCACAGCATGGTGATTAAAATTAAATCACATTCCATTTCTACAACAACTCAATCTGTTTTCAGTGTCTCCAAAACATTTGTGCKCCTGGTTCTTAAAGCCCACTCTTGTGTTTTCATATAAAAAGGAAAAAAAAAATGCAACTTTGTGAAAAAAAACGTGACGTCATGGCCCAACCGCTAATCTAACCTACGCGCCTCTTTTTCTTACATTTAACGATGCTCAGCTTACAAGCTTGATGTGCAGATCTTGTATCCTGTTTTCGGTGTGTTGTCATTGCCTSGTTACAGCACCACACACAGGCGTGGCATAGTTACTGCAGTGTTTTGTGGGGTTTTTTTTGTGTGTGTGTGTGTATTTTTGTGTGAATAAAGACATTTCAATAATTGAATTTTTACACGGATATTTTTGGAGAAAACTAAAAACGGCACTTCCTTGTGCCTTAACGTTTAGCAGCATAAAAAGACAAAATGTTCATATCTGAATTTCTTACTGATAACAGTTTACGCTGTGTTGGGATTTATGGTTTTGTTTTCTCTCAGTTGTTTTTTTCTGTGTTTTTACACAAATTAAAGTTTGTTTTTAAGCTGATCTCTGACATCTTATTCTGATTGCTCTTTGTCTTTAACCCTTAAATTACTCAGATTTAATGTCTCCTTGTCATCAGAAACACTCATCTTTTTTATGAGATCCTGGTGCCGTGCAGAGGGCCTGTACCAACAAATGTCACTGTGCACTGGGGGGGGTATGGAGATCCCTCTGAAGTCGTGCCAGTTTCCTTGCCAAGCGTGTGCACGCGCACTTCGGTGATTGTCAAGCAAAGCTTGACAAGTGGGGAGCTTACAGAACCGCAGGGAAGCCCTGGCACTGATCCACCCACGGGCCTCTTACCCCCACCGTCTCTGCTTAGCACACAGCGGGAGGTCAGTAAACACACATGCATACAGATCATCCACCCCCTGCAGAAAAACAGCTTCTGTATTTCATTTTTATGTTAGTCTTCTTTTTTTCCCCTCAGCCAATCATAGCTTTTGTAGTAAAGAGAGCKGAGTTAGTATTCAGCAGAGCTTTGACTCCAACAAAGACATCTCCTCCAGAGGTAACATAAAAACAGGCAACATGATCCGATTACATTAATTTATGTTTGTTACAGTGAAAGCACAAAGAATGAAGTCAAAAATCACTTAAACTGTTTCTATTTTAAAAAATTATAAAGATTTTTGAATATAAGATTTAGTTTCTACAATTTCTTCATTCATGGGGGGTTCTCCGGGAGTATGGGGTACCGGGCCATTTGGTACGGGCTGTCAGGTCCTTGTATGACCGGTGTCAGAGTCTGGTCCGCATTGCCGGCAGTAAGTCGGGCCCGTTTCCGGTGGGAGTTGGACTCCGCCAAGGCTGCCCTTTGTCACCGATTCTGTTCATTACTTTCATGGACAGAATTTCTAGGCGCAGCCGAGGTGTTGAG